TGCTACAAGGGGTCATACGACAGCCAGATCCGCAGTGGCTCCAGTGGACCGACTGGCATTTGAACGCCAGTTCCTGACACGGGGTTCATACTCCTCAAGAGTGATCTCAATGATCCAGGCCTCTCGGCGGCCGGCGACAAATTGGATCTACAATGCCACCTGGCGGAAATTCTGTCACTGGTATGACCAAAATAGTTTGTCCATTTCTTCTGTTACTATTCCGAGGATACTCAAATATCTCTTGGAAGGCAAGGATAAGGGCCTAGCACCCAACACTACCCGTAGGCAGGTGGCGGCTCTCTTCACGGTTTTCACCTGTGCCAACTCTACGCCATTGTCTCAACACCCGAGGGTTCGATCCTTTATCAAGGGGGTTACAAACAGTAAGCCTCCTGTAGTCCATCGTTACCCCACTTGGGAGTTACCGCAGGTTCTTCAGGCTCTTACAGGAACCCCATTTGAACCCATCAGATCTTGCACTCTGCGACTCTTGTCCCTTAAAGTGGCCTTCTTAATAGCAGTGACATCAGCAAGGCGCGTCTCGGAATTAGCAGCTCTTTCCGTGAGGGAAGACCTATGTACCTTTCATCAGGACAGAGTGGTCCTACGGTTGGACCCCTCGTTCATTCCCAAGGTTAACTCCTTATTCCATAGGGCACAGGAGGTTGTATTACCGGACTTTTGTCCTAACCCATCACATGACTTAGAGAGGCAATGGCATGCTCTAGATGTCCGCAGGGCCCTGCGATATTACATTAAATGGACAGCTGCCTTTCGTAGATTGGAGGCACTCTTTGTATCTTTCCATCCGGCTTCTAAAGGTCAGAAGGTCTCTTCCTCTACTATTGCCAGGTGGATCAAGGCCTGCATCGAGGAGTCGTATCGGGTACGCTCACTGCCTGTTCTAAGCTGTCTGACAGTACACACTACACGCAGTGCCTCTACATCAGCTGCGTGGCACACTCAGGCTTCTATCGTTGACATTTGTAGGGCGGCGACGTCTTCACCTTCCCTCTTTATCCGTCATTACAGGCTTGATAAATTTGCGTCTGCATCCACGTCCTTCGGCCGCCGTGTTTTACAACAGGTGGTTCAGTCAGCGTCAACACTTGACCAGCCTGTTTCCCACCTGTAGGGTCACATGGGCTTTGGTATGTCCCATTCGTGGATTCTCCATTCTTTTCCATGCTGGAGAAGGGGCGTTGTCTTACCTGAACGCCTTTTCTCAGCATGAAGAATGGAGAATCCACCCCCTCCCATTTTTGAAGTTCACAGTTAGGTCAGTGTCAGTAGCTGGGAGCCAACACGTTGCACAGTTTTTAACTTCGTCCTTTTCGAAACGGGGGGCAAGGTCCAGTCCAGCAGGGGCGTGGCAACTTGATTGATTTGGTCTGATTAGGCTAGAGGACTTCCTTAACCCATTTGTGGATTCTCCATTCTTCATGCTGAGAAAAGGCGTTCAGGTAAGACAACACTTCATCTTATACAACTTGAACCATTTGGCTTAGTGATTTTCACAATAGATTTAAATATGAAATTCATAAGTTATACATCCTAATTCTCTTAGAATTGGAATTAAGGATAACTTCTTCCTGAATCATTTGTTGTCACAATTTGGTATATAGAATCATTGGCACTCAGTACTAAATTTCAATTGCAGCTTTATGAAAAAGCAACCCAAAGATTTTGCATCAGCATATTATCATCATTATTGAAATCAGCTCTCTTAAAGTCCAGGACTCTAATTTGACCTTGTTCTATTTCTTATTCTTGCATAATCATGAATCCCAATATCGCATGATCACTCCCATCCAAGGATCCTATAACTTTAACACCTTCTATTATATTTCAACTCTGTTAGCATGTCATCACTTGTCACTCTTGTGTAAGAGACTCTTGGTGGTGAACAATCATGAAAACAATTAAAAACAATTACAAAATTAAATATATATGGCAGTCATAAATAGAGATTTTGCTTATTGGTAATCATACAAAAAGTAGGACTGGAAAGTTATGCAATTGCAAGACAAATGAATTTCAAGACATAATGAAATTTCCAATATCATTTGAACAACTTACTGTTAAGAAACATCTCTCAAATAATCAGTCTAAATTGGCTATATTGTAACTTATGAATCAGGAATTCCAGGTTTATACCTTTGCTGTCCAAAACAAATATAACCCCCCCAAGCACATTCTAGATCTGACCAACCACTGCCTATCCAACACATACTTCATCTATAATGGACAAAAATACAAACAAATAGAAGGAGCACCTATGGGATCACCCCTCTCACCTGTCATTGCAAACCTCTACATGGAACACTTTGAAACCCAAGCTCTAGAAAAATCTGATCACAAACC